CGGATTATAAATCTGAATTAGAATATCTGTTGTTGCGTGCTGGATTTTTTGATTTAGCACCGATAAATTTATTTGAATTTGATATTTGCCTAAACTATTACCAATTAATAATAACAACCTCCCGACGTAATAACTGTGACATCTGTAAACATGTCTTTGACAAAAACAAGAAGGCATCTACAAGCGGTCTTAGAAATGTTTCAAAACTTCTTGCTATGGGTTTATGGTCAGATCATCATCTTTCAATCTATGATAAAACTATTTGCACCGCGTGCCGTTTAAAACTAGAAAAACAGTATAATAAAAAAGAAAAACCATCTGAAATGCAAAAAGCTTTTTGAATGGTTGCACAATCCAATGATTGTGCACAAACCTGAAAAGAGTGAAAGCATTTATGATGATAGCTTTTATCGGAATAATACTGTATTAGATGGAAAAGAAAGTTTTTCTGAATGGTTGAAAAATCAAGGTTTTCAGGGTAGGATAGAGATGACCTCATCATATCACAACTTACAACATCATAGTGAAAGAAAGTATGTCTTATTTTTCCTAAGAACTTCCTTGCTATGGGTTATTATCTGAATCTAATTTAGTTTTCTTAATCAATTAAAAAAGATTCTTTTGTTTATCATTGGAATTCTTGCACCTAATGATGTAGAAACAGTTTGGCATGATTTGATTTATTGTGAAAATGATAGCAAAAAGAACAATAATAACGAGAATTATGAAGTAATTATGGAAGCTGTTGCTGATGCATATTCCAATTCTCAACACTGGTCTACAAGGCGACAACTTCTTTCCATTGTGGCTTTTGATATACCTTTTCTTTCAATTAAACAATATATACCCGATTTAACATCATGGAAGTTTAAAGAGGCCCGAAGACAAGCTAAAGTGAATGTTATGATTATAGTATTGTTTTCAGCATGAATATTCGTAATTTTTATTAATAAAGGTCGTGGAACAGTTGTTGAGTTTGAAAGACCACCTACATGTCGATTTACAATTAGTCAAGTCAATCATTTTATTGAATATATATTATCACCTCATATAATAACTGATCTTTCTTTTGGAAATAAAAAACTCACGATGAGTAGTGGTGAAACCATTGAAATACCAAACCATATTCGAAATATTATACCGTCAAGAATAATAATGCAATATCATCAGTTTTGCAATGAAACTTGCTTAGCCAACTTCAAACCATTATCCAGGAGTGTTTTGTACGAGATATTAGATGGGTGTCCAGCATTAACAAGGAAGAGTTTGGAAGGTCTTGACTATTTTGCAGCTGATGGATCAAAGGCTTTTGACAACTTATTAAAGATTACTGATGAATTATTAATGATCGGTAAATAGAACATTGTCTTAAAACATAATCGTCATTGACCTGTATTTAGGAATTCCTGACAATAGTGTTCGAAAGTTAAAGAATGATTTACAATTATCCCGAAATTATTTGAAAAGTGATTATAAGTTGCACGTTCATGATGCATCAACAATTTCAGATCACTGCATAGGCGGCGGAGCCCTTAGGCTAGGGGAGGCTCAAGCCTCCCCTAAAAAACAAATGGGGAGGCTTGGAGAGGCTCAATTATTTGAAAAAAATCCTGATTTCATCGTAATTCTATATTTGATAAGTGAAAGCGGTTAGAAAAGCGATGCTATTTTTTCTCCGAAGTAATGTTCAGCCCGAGAATATCTATGTTGCATGTTTTTAAAATATTTTCACTTATTAATGCTAGCGCCTCCTTTATGAAGATGAAGGGGAATAGTCAACGCACAGAATACATTTATGGTGTCGACGCATTTTTATTTGTCATTAGAATTTTTATCATGATCTGTATTTTACTTTTGAAAGATTATGAAATGATAAACAAACAGTAAACTTCGTAAAAAAAAAATAAATGTCGTCACCGACGTCAACAAAACAGCGTCAAATTACATCCTTTTTTCAAAGCAAAAAACAAAAAACGTCTGAAGTTGTTAGAAATCATGTAGATAGCTCAAATAATTTGTCCGTTCATGTATCTCATGATGAAGAAAACTTTAATCCAACTCAAGAATTTATGTCACCAGAAGTGACAGAAGTATCTACTTCCACCACCACGACAGCTGAAAATGAAACAATTTTGAAATGTAATTTACTTTGTTGTACATGTGATGGTCGCTACGTTCCCGAAAATTTTTCACTTTTAAAATCAACAAATGACAAACGTAGTTGTCAATTAGGATGGTTCAACAAACATGATTGGCTTTCGTATTGCCAAGTGAGAAAACCTAATAAAATTTTCTACAAGGAAAATCACAACTATAACGCTACTGAACATTAATTTCTTTTTCTTGCATTAGAGTAATGGAAAGGTGTATTGTTATTATTGTCGAAAGGCTTATCAGAGTGGTTATCATCCACAAGTAAATAAAATGTCTGATTATTCGTTCACAGTGCGTGGATTTAATTGCTGGAAAAATGCTTTAGCTAAATTTGAAAGGCATGAAAACAGCCAATGTCATACTGATTGTATATATTTAGTAAAACAACAGTGTAAACCATCGGTGGCAGCGCAAATCAGTTTAGTACATCAAAATCAACAGGCACAGCGAAGAAAGATGCTGTTGGTTCAATTAAAATCAATCAAGTTTTTGTTACGACAGGGTTTGGCTTTGCGTGGTCACACTGAAGAAGAAGGCAATCTAATACAAGTATTAAAGTTGAAACAAGATGATATTAGTGAATTATCCTCATGGATAAACGAAGGAACTTACTTATCTCATGATATAATAAATGAAATATGTGAACTTATATCTTTGACAATTATTCGAGAATTATTGAAAGAGGTAAAAGTGATTGATGTATAGGGATTGGCATTAATAACAGAGATCCTACACATAAAACTCATAAGCATAACACAAGAGAAACGACAGATAGGCTTCTAATAAATTTACTCTTAACTGGAACTTGTTTTTTATGTGCACATGCATTTTTTCATTCTTCTCGTCAATTTAATTCATTTTGTTTATCTGTCTGTTGTTTAGATCAGACATCGTAGATTTTATAGTATTATATGTGATGAAGCGACTGATGAAGCCGGTCTTGAACAGCTATGTTTTACAATTAGATCCGTTGATGATCAGTTCATGGTGCATGAAGATGTTATTGGGCTATACCAGCTGACATCTCAAAATGCCGAACATATCACAGAAGTTATACTTGATATTTTAGTTCGGTGTGGTTTAGATATAAAATTATGTCGAGGACAAGGTTATGATGGAGCTGCAACGATGGCCGGCCATGTGTCTGGCGTATCATCAAGAATTAAAAATTTAAATTCGAAAGCTTACTATGTTCATTGCAATGCACATTCATTAGATCTGGCACTACAAGATGTTACACGTGATTCACCATTTGTGGCATCTGCCTTAGATATAACCAATGATATTGTCAATTTTATCACAAAATCTCCGAAACGTTTAAATCTATTAGATAAATTGACCGGTTTAAATTCTTATTCAAACTTAAAACCATTATGTCCTACTCGATGGACGGTGCGAGCATCATCAATGGATTCATTAGTTATTAATTATGACTTAGTTAAATTATCGTTGGATGAAATTAGTGTTGAAGGTGGTCCGCCTTCTATCAAAGCGAACGGATTTCTAGAACAAATGCAGAAGTTTTCTACGTATTTTGGATTAAAATTAGGTAAATACAATTATTTGTTTTCTATATAACTAAACAAAACTGTGGTACCTTTCGTAATCACATGTCTCTTTTGGTCTATAAAGCAGTAAAAAAGAGTAAAATAGTCAATTGTCCTATCAGACAGCCATGTTAATATTGTTACTCTCTGATCTGATCTAGTCAGACGTTCCAACAGGAAGGAAATGCGTTTCCACTTTGAGGGATATTTTTCGAAAAACAATTAAAAACTAACAAAGAAGCTTGAAGAATTGAATACATAAGCATATATTCTTTACTTTTTCTCTAGGTCATTTAGTCTTTTCTGCTGCAGAAGAAGTTTCGTGCTCATTACAACGAATTCAAAATTGTTTACAAGATATTTTGTGTGCAATTAAAACGTTAACAAAATATTTACAAAGAATTAATTGTATAGATTATTTTAACACGTTTTATGAATTAATATTGAAAGAGGCTGAATCATTAACAGAAGAACCAGTATTAACACGTCTTAGGAAACCTCCGAGACGTTATATTGGTACAATACGTGCACCAACAGTTTATCAAAGTTCGTATGATATGTATCAACAGCAATATTTTTACGTTATCAATAGTGTGTTAAATGCATTAGATTTACGCTTTCAACAGTCTGTGTTCCCATTATTATGTAAAGTAGAAGAATTTATCATAGCAGCTGCGAATGGTACACAAGATGATGATAATATTAATATTGAAAGTATTGTTGAATTTTTAAATGATGATATTGATATTACACGTTTAAAGTGTGAGTTGAATTTATTACCTGATTATTTTTCAACTATTAACTTAGAAAAAAATTTCGGCTTAAAAAAGATTTCAAAAATTCAAACTGTTTGCGATTTACTCAATGCACAATCTATTGGGAAATCTATGTTTCATGAATATTGTAAATTATTGCGTTTATATTTAACAGTTCCCATTACAACGGCTACAGCTGAACGATGTTTCAGTGTTATGAATAGAATAAAGACATATCTACGATCAACAATGACACAGCAACGTTTTAATCATGTCCTTATTCCTCATGTTCATAAAGAAAAATTAGATCAGTTAGACTTGAACAGCATTTGTACTGATTTTATTGCAAAAAATCAGAGTAGAAAAGCCTTTTTTGGACATGAATAATAGTTTTTGTACTTACGACTTTTTTATTTGCCTTAGTCAAGGTTTAAGATTTTGTATGCTTATGTTGATAATGAAATAAAAATTTTGATAGTGTAGTAGAATTCTCGATTGCTCTGAAGGTGTGCAAATGGGTCAGTGAAGAAAATGTTTCGAATGAAAGTTATAACCAAGAAATTTAAAAGTCTGTCTTCTCCGTCTAATGTCGACTTTCTGTCGTTGTTTTCAAAAACAATTTTGAGCCTCCCCTAAATTAGAAATGTTCCGCCGCCTATGGATCACTGTTCAGTATTTGGTTTAAATGATCCAAAAGAAAAACAATGGCAGCAATCATGCGACCACCATTAAAATGATCGATGTGAACAATGTTCTTTACTTGATAGTTCATTGCAAACTTTAGTAGCATTAGTTAGTGATTGTACAACAAATGCTTCACCAGATAAATTAAAAAGATTATTACATTGAATTCAGCATAATATTGAGATGACATACGATTGGAAGTTTCATATTTTACGAACAATACACCAGGAAGGTTCTCGTTCCGAAGTTTTAAATAACTTGGATTCGAAAAGCATTTTGATACAAATTGATTGGGCTATGAAATTTCTTGCAAAAGAATATCGTGAGTCACAACGACAATGGTTCGGTTAGCACTAAAGTTTGCGTATTGTTATCTAGTTTCGAATAAATTTCTTTTTAAAAATAGCGAAAAGAGGTCTTTCTTGGCTTGTTTGCTATGTTATTAAAGCACAATCTTCAGAAGATCCTTCATCAACAACAAAAACTAAAAGATTTGCACATAGAACATTCATTCATGTTTTTGATCAATGTGTTCAAAATGCACAAACAGAGACCAGTATAATCAGAGACATTTTCATACGCATAAAGTCGACTAATCCTGCTATTGAATATGCTTATATAAGAGGTATAATTATTTTATGAGTATCTTTCTTATCATCTCTAATAACATCAATAATTTAGCTGACAATGCAGGTTGTTTCCATGGATCTGAGTTTTTATTGTCTGTTAAACAACTTTATAATGAAACTGGGATCTTCATTAAAAGAAGTATTTATATATTGTTTGTTTAATTTTCTACTTCTTTTGTTTTCCGTTGATTTTTCAGATCCTCAATCGGGAAAAGGAAATTGTGACCGCATGGCAGCAGTAATAAAGTGTAATTTAAGGCGATATATCGACAAGAAGCACAACGTCACCAACAGCAAAGAGTTTATTGAAGCTGCACGAGAAACTAAAAATTTGTCTAGTTATCGTTGTTCAATATCTCCTAATTACACTCAATCAAAAAAGAAAGTTGAGTGGGAAGGAGTGAAGGAATTCAATAATCTCGAGTATTTTAAAACAACAGTGCCAATACCGGTACAAAAAAAATTTGTCAATGAAAAACTTGAACACATGAGCGTGAAATGTTGGAGGGCCTGGAATATAGGCGTTGGCAAAACATTTATGTGGAAGAATGTTCAAGAAGTTACTTCAATATTCCCACTTAAAATTATTGATGAATTTTCAATCACAAACAATCAATGGTTGTTAGAACCAGAACAAGATGGTTAGTATATTTTTGCAAAACTCCATTAAAGAATTGTTCACTGTGCATAAAACATTTCAGAATCGATGAGTTTGAACAACACGTCTAATTGTGATGAAGACGACGAAAATGAAGACCTTGATGCATCTCATCCTTCAGAATTAAAAATCCTTGATTGTCCAGAAGTAGGTTGCATCAAGCAGTTTATAAAATATGGGCAGTTATCAAATCATCTTTCTACTGGTAAGCATACAAAGCATCACGAGAAATTATCTTTACTAGACACAGCAAAATCGTTATATAAACATAAACTGGAATTTTCTTCGATTCGACAAACTCCTCAACTAAAAGATTTCGTCACAACCCAATTGGTACAGTAGTCTTGAAACATTAATCAATTTTCGTCCTCATACTACGTTTTCTAGGCTGGTGTTCACCAAAAACTGAATTTATCTCCTGGCTGGGCTTTGATTCGAAAGAAAAATAAATCTCGATTGACAAACGAACAAAAAAAATTTCTTGAAGATAAATATTATCAAGGAGAACAACAAAATATGAAGTTCAGTCCTGTGGATGTAGCCCATGAGATGGAACTACTGATGAATGGTAATGAATATGTTTTCGAACGAAGTCAATGGCTGCAACCATCTCAAATTAAAAGCTACTGGTCAAGATTAACCAAAAAACGTCGTCAATCTAGTCAGCAGCAAACAACAACTAAGAGTACGCAGCAACCCACTAAAGATAATGATCAAGACGAAATAGATGAAAAACAAACTGATGAAGAACAAACAGATGACAAATCATTCGAAGAAATGACCCAATACATTCAACAAAACTTATCGAAAAAACAAGAACAAATCGTACCAGAAACAACGAAAGATTCATCAGGGACACCTGAGATGTCTTTTTTATCTTTGACAACTAAACAATCGCAAAGGTCCATCGATGACCTATCTGATCAGCATCCAAAGAAAAAAAACAGTACATTAATAAACTTCTACCATCATTAAATTCAAATGCACATTTTTCTTACATTTCGTTATTTATCTTTGTCATTAGGCAGTTACAACTTCTATGAATGAGGCAACGGTTTTTTTTATCTAAGTTACTGTAAACGTAGGCTGAATCCGATTGACCACCGATTTAACTGTTCATTAAATCAAAAAAACAATAACCAAATAATCATCATCATGAGCACATAAAAACTTTTCCAAAAAAAAACAAATATTGTTTATCACCGATGGAACAAGCTCTATGATCTATTAGATTGAGAACTCAAGTTCTTATGCAATGACAATTCTACTCTAGTAATAATAAAAAGTATACTCACGATGAACATTGAAAATTATTGGTTTAGTAAAAAGGAAAAAGGAAAAAGGAAAAAGATTGATTAAATTTTAAAGCTTTGAGAAATTGAGAATTTTCCAAGATAACAGTTTTTTTTTGAAAAATGCCATCTGTTCATATTTGAATTCAATTAAAGCTTAAAATATTCTTAACATTGATCTACAGAAATAAAAAGTTTGACAAACCTAACTAATATTTAAGTTCATAAAAAGAATTGGTATACTTTTATATCTTAATCAAGTATGTGATCTTGATTCACGACTTATGTATGTGACATGTAAATAGATCATCGATTGATTAGAAGTATTTAGCTTAGAACTATGATAATAAACTAATAATTTGTCAATTCTTAGGATTTCAGAAATAGATCATAAGGTCGTTACTTTCGTGAAGATTCATTAGGTACAAATTTTGCTCATCATTGATTTTCTCATATTATGGTCATAATAGTGTCCCTATTGTTAGTCATTTTTCGAGGTGTTGGTAGTTTTTTCAGACCTTGAATTTTATATAGTTAGATGCAGCGTGAAAAGCTCTACAAAATGAGATAAAAAAAGTTTTGGTGATTTTATATTTGGAGTTACAGTAGGGCTAAAACTAGAAAAAATTCAATATTTTTACACCCATTTTTTTCATCAATTTCAACTTTCAGTACCATATAACCCTATAATGCAACAACAGATATTTTTCATAATCCATAGTATTTTGTAGAACATAGTAGTGGTCATCATTAAAAGTTGAATGGATTCTATTGCTTTCACTGTTTTGGAGAAAATGTTAAAATACGACTCCCAGTGAATTTCTGAGCAAAATGACACGATGACTCAGAGGGTGAAAAAAGTCAGTTCAGGCTAAAATTTTTTCGGAACATTTTCAGACCGAAAAAATTTGGATCTGTCGGTAAAAATGAATGCTCTTTTCAACTATATAGTTACAATCTAAAACTGGAATATGCCCCCGACCGGTGTCCAGAAAAATAGTCGGTTTTTTCGCGGAACCTCTCTTAAATCTACTTCTCTCCAATTACAACCGACATTACTACCGAAATCGTCACAGATCGTGACAGAAATAACTATGACACTGAAATTTATTGTGAAATTATTTTAAAAACGATGGAAATTTATATGCATGTTTTACGTTCTGTCTCAGTACACTGAAAAAAAAAGAGTCGAATACTAAACCCTTAAAGCGTTTATCAAAATGCAACGTATGAAATACCCTTTTTCACCGTTTATCAGCATATTATATACCTTTTCATAAACCCTTCAAAAGGCTCAAACAAGGGGTTTTTCAAGATAAAATACCGTCCATGGAAAGGTTTATCAAAGGGTATATAAAAATGAAGAACGAAAAAACGGTATTTCATACGTTGCATTTTCCTAAACCCTCAGTAANATTTCTCTGTCTTGTTGGCAGATAACTCGAACGTTCGTCTATGAAAACTGTTCACAGCAGTTATCGAAACGAGAAAATGAGCTTTTTCGAAAGGTTGCGTCGTCAATTTGTTATATTCTATGGTATCTCTAAAGTGATAGAGGTTAGGTAAACATCTGTCCAGATGCAAAAGAAATAAAAAAGAGCCATCAAGCACGACTTGAAAGATAGATTGATTTCAAGAGAAAACTTCCGAAAATTTGAAGTTATGGTCTAGATTATCGGTTTCTATAGAGAATGAAGATGAGCTTGCTAGGGACAAGGAAAAATTCCTATTTTTTTGTTGTTGTCATCCCATCAAGAAATATTAAACCGATTATAACTATTCGACTATTATTTTTTTTCATACATATAGGAGAATCATATCCATTTGAAATGATGAAGAAGTATTTGAAAAACGTTGACTCATCTGAAAGATATAATAGGGTTTATGGATCGATCACGTTATTGTTCTTCAATTGCATAAGAAGACTAATATAAGAAAAACACATCGATTCAAGACAATTCGTGCCATTATAATACACAAAACATTAAAAAGTTTAATTATATTTTGTATAGATTTTGCTTACAGAGTATAATTTACTCGACCTAGAAGCGTCAAAATTCTGAAAATTTTCTACTATTTAAGATAAAGTAGGGTGTAAGTGAAGATATGGATCTTACCGCCATTGCCATTCGTACTCACGTTCTCGAAAAATGATTCCCAAAGCAATATTGGTTTTTTCTCGTCATCCTATTTCTTTCCCTTTTTCTTGTTAATTTTTCTCTCCAATTAAAGCGGTAAAACATTTCAATGAAATTCGATGTTATATATATATATACTATTTATTTTTACATTACTATCATTCTTCGACAAACTTACAAGTAATAAACCACGTGCCTGGCAAGTATTTGCATCGATTTTAATTTTTCAACCAACTGACATTAATTCGAAAATGACTGATTTTTTTGGAGGTTTCTCAAAGAATGATAGAGAAAAGATTTCTTAACAAATCATCTGTACATTTAGTGAACGAATCTATTTTTTTTTGTCATTCTCCTTACACTAATCAAAAAGCTTCGTATTGTTGTTTTGCCCAGAAAAAATTGCTCGGTGACGATGCATATGATATCTTTACGACAATTACCCAAGCACATTGCCTTCTTTCATCATATTTGTGTCAATATTTGCGACTGTTTTTTTTTTCTTCTTTTCTTTCTCTAGAAATATTCCTGACTTTACTCATTTCACCTGCTCTACGATGCAACGAGACAGCGTCTGAGTCATTGTTCAAGTTTTCGTCTTTTACTTTTTCTTCTTTCTCACACTTCCTTTTGTATGTTGTCTTACTTTGGTAACAGAAAAAAAAGTAATAAGTGTTGTGATGTCGCCTGAGTCAGTGCAAATATATAAAGAATTACTTGCAAAGGAGCCGAAAATCGATGAAAAATATGTAATTATTGATGTTAAATTGTTAAAACATTGGAAACGCTTTATTGGTATCGATAAATCAGAAGATGAAGAACAAGTTACTGAGCCAGGTCCAATAGATTTCACAAAATTAGTTGATCCCGCAACAGCCAGTAGTTCCAATGAAGTACAACTTCGTTCAGATGCTGTTGAAGGAAATGATTATACCTTTATTCCATATGAGCTTTATAAAGACTTAGTAAAAACGTATAACAAAATCGATCCCGAAATAATTCGTAGAGTAATCCCACAAGGTCCATATCAAACTGTAATTGACACTTTTCTTGTATCATTACGACTTCGTAAATCAAGCGATGACAATGCAAGAATAAAACAAATCTATCGTAGTCGTCGAACAAAGATAGAAGAAATAAAAAAAGATATTTGTAATGAATTTTGTATTCCATTAAGTTCAAATTATCAATTATATTCATCAGTGGATGAAGATGGTCAAAAGTGGGAACCCATTGATGATGAACCAGATTCAACCCTTGAAGATATCAGTTTAACAAAAAAAATGCATTTATCATATATGAAGATCGATCATTATCACTAGAGACCCTTTCTTTATCAAGAATACAGTTCCCTCGAGGACTCTGTGGTTTATCAAATTTAGGCAATACTTGTTTCATGAATTCAGCGTTACAGTGTTTATCAAATGTTCCAGTACTAACAGAATATTTTCTTAGTGATGCATATAAAGAACATATAAATCTTGATAATTCATTAGGTATGAAAGGTGATGTTGCTATAGCATATGGTAAATTATTACATGAAATGTGGTCAGGTAATACAGATTTTTATGCACCAAAATTTTTGAAACAAAGTGTTGCAAATTATGCACCACAATTTAGTGGTTTTGCACAACAAGATTCACAAGAATTTATGTCATTTTTACTTGATGGTTTACATGAAGATTTAAATCTAGTCAAAGTAAAACCATATGTAGAAAAAAAAGATGATGATGGAACAACTGATGATACAACATTAGCTAATGAACAATGGGAATATTATCGAAAACGAAATCAATCAAAAATTCAAGATATATTTCATGGACAAATAAAATCTCTTGTAGAATGTCTTACATGTGGAACAAGAGCACGGACATTTGATCCAGTCTGTTTTCTAATTTTACCAATACCAGTTAAAGCAGAAATACGAACATTTAAAATTGACTATGTTCGTTTAAATGGACAAATTAAAACTTATCATATTAAATGTGATGAGCAGGGTCGTGTATGTAATTTAGTTCAACAGTTTTGTGATCGTTTTGAACTGAAAAAGAAAAAGAATCATGAAAGTGAATCTACGATGACTGATGCTACATCGAAACCAGGTGAAACGAATCAAGATGAAGATAACGTTGAAGATGAGGATGAACAAGAAGAAGAAGAAGAAGAAGATTTCACAAAAGCAGACGATTATGATGGACATAAACCTAAACCAGATTATATTTTAGCTGTTGAAGTTTACAATCATAGAATTCATTTACAATATCGAGATAATGCTCCGTTAACAAATATACTTAAATATGATCAAGTTGTTTTTTATGAAGTACCTGATTCATTAAAAGAAGAAGATAGTGAGAAAATTTCAATTCCATGTATATTTCGTGATGATTGTTATCATTACAATTTCGGTTTACCTATTTATATTAGTGTACCAAGAAATAATTGTAAAGGAAGAGATATTCAAGAAGCATTTGAGGTAATATCAAATATTTGCCACACTTTTTCATCTATTTATTATGATTCATTTTTTTAGAAGACAATCGGTAATTTTTTTCCATTACCACCAATGAATTCATCAGATAAACCATTTTATACCGCTTTATTAGCATTCAATCAAGTTTATAATACAACAACCCAACCATTAGAATCACTTCTTGATGATCATATTGATTTTATTCATACAAATAGAACAGTTATTATTGATGTGGCATCATCAATTGTTGAAGAATATAAAAAACGTTCACAAAAAGATCCTGTTTCACCAATTACTTCTGATGGTTCAGGACGTAGGCAACAAAAACGGCCAACAACATTATCAGATTGTTTTAAATATTTTACCAAAAAAGAAGTATTATCCGATGACGATCTATGGAAATGTCCAAAATGTAATGAATTGAAAAAAGCTACAAAAAAATTTGATATATGGATTTTACCGAAAGTTTTAATTGTACAATTAAAGCGTTTTAATTATACGCGTTATTTTCGTGATAAAATTGATTTATTTGTTGATTGTCCACTACAAGATTTAGATTTATCACAATTCGTTCTGAATCCAGCTGAAAAATTAAAAGCAAAATATGACTTAATTGCTGTTAGTAATCATATGGGATATTTAGGTGGTGGACATTATACGGCGTATGCAAAAAATTGTAATGATAAAAAATGGCACGCATTCAATGATTCATATGTATCAGAAATCTATCAAGATAGGATCATTAGTGAAGATGCATATGTTCTTATTTATCAACAACAAGGACAATCGTTATCAGAAAATGAATGTACGAAGCAATGAAATATTGATTTGATTTGTTTGTAAAAACTGCGATTGCTTTTTTTTTTCAATTTGAACTAAGCAAGAGAAAATTTTAATAGATATTTTGACGTTCTTTAATAAACATTAATTTTTTTTAATATTTACTCGCGAACAAAAAACAACAACAAAATGTTTTTGAAATTTTATCAGTTTTTAGGTTAGAGGTTGGCCAAATAGTATTGGTCGAATAGCACGAACTTTTCATAATTATTTCAAAAATAGCTATTGAACGAATAGTTGCTTACAATTGATCATGTTTTTCAGGTAATCAGTATGAAATTTTCGCTTTTTTTTATAGTGACGAACATAAGTTTAGGGCAGCTATAGAAATCAATAGACCTGAAGACTTCAACAAAATTGCTTATATGAGGGACAACAATAATAAAAACATAATCGTTTCAACTCATATCCATGCTCTCTGTTGATTCCATAAAATATGTATTGACTTCTTTTGGCTCTCAAAGCTTTCGTCGAAAGTATTTATAAAGTTAGTTGATTCATGATGAAAACTTCAAGTATTATCCAGAAGATAGAAAATCCGTTTGGTCCTTTGGAATGCAGACACATTCATCATCTAAGAATGACGTCAAATCGTCTAAAGACAAGGCGAGTTTCGATCGATCTTTTCGCCAACCATTTTATTGATTTTAACGTACATGCTCTGCAGTGTCGTGTACAGTTCTATAATTAACTTTTAGTATGGTGCTGACAGTGAGAAGTTGCTCTGTTAAGAAAGTAAATAGTTTTTCAGAAACTCCGATTTCTGCTACAGAACTAGAATCAATTCACATCTACTCAAGAAAGATAGAATTCATCACATTGAAGCCAATGGGGATCATTTGTTCCAGTTTAAAAAAAATCATATAATTTGTTTAGTTGCATAAAGAAAATATTTGCATATTAAATTGAAATCGAATTGATGTTGAATAATAATAAGTTCACATAACGCAAAACACAAAAAAACTATTTTCTTTCAAAAGACACTTCACCTCTATGTATGTGCCATACTCTTCAAGTAATTACTCAATATCGAGTATGTTATAATGTAGAGGACAGTTATTTATCAATGTGAAAAACAGGTTTGATACCATTGGATTATTGCAAAATACACATTGTTATTGATAACTTCACATTAATCCAGTGCAAATTTAATTCTCGAAGCTAAACTGAGATTGTTTATAAATGTATCAGACTAGAATTCTAATTCATTATCTGATTACACACACATTTTTTGCAGTCTGGTACAGGAGACCTATAGATCTTTTATCAGAATATTTTTAATCGATATTTTTTTGTTGTTATTTGAGTTATATAATAGTTTATGTTAGAGTCTAAATCAATTTTTTCTACATTGGATATTAATCAAAGTCTAACAATGATTAATCTTCGTAGATATTTTTCTCCGTAGCTCTACTCACACAATACGATAGTGTTTCATACCTGTGAAAAACATTTTCGTAAGACTCATTTTCGTAGATAAGTATTCGTTTAATCTCATGTTCATTTTAAAATCGATTTTTTAAAATTTTATAACAAACAATTTTCTGTGAAACTCTCTGTTTCAATGATGANATCTTTACGAAAGCAGTCTTACGTTGAATAAATTCATTTGTATATCTCGAAGGACATTGATGATTACCCAGGTCGAGGTTTACGGAGTCCGTAAACGGTCGTGTACGGTCCGTTTTTCTCCGTATACGACCGTATTTTGCCGTATTACATGGTCACGTATTACGATCGTATATCACCGTCACCGTATACGGAGCAATACGACGATATACGTAGAAAGACGGAGCAAAACGGAGATTGTATACGAACCCCGTGTACGATCTCAGTTTACGATCGTATTTTTCTCCGTATATCACCGTATTTCTCAGTATACGACACGGAGATATACGATCGTAATACGTGACCATGTAAATCGTTGTATTTCTCCGTATACGGTCGTTTACGACCGTGCTTGTTTGACCTGGGTGTACATGATAAAGAATGATAAAAGTCGAGTACTGATTAAAACTGAAAGTACGGATTATTTACCACGGACAATGAAGCTGAATTTTGGACATGAATATAATTCTAATGAAAGAGCAACTAATGTTTTATTTTATTTATATTGTGAATTAGTAAGTGCGGTAGATGCAGAAGAAAAAAAAATGGAAAGTAAAAAGGTCTCGTGTACAAGTTCAAATTTTGGTCGATTATTGTCACTAAACATGTCTGAATTAACTGATAAAAGACCAACAACATTAGATACATCAGCAGATGAAAAAGATAAAAAAGAAAAAAAAAATCCATCTTAAATATGATATTTATCTTTATCAATATAAACATCTTCAACATTGCCAGATACTGAGTAAATAAAAAAAATTTCCTATTTTATTTTAAATAGAATTAATTTTTTATTTTAGGCATTATCTGAATCAACAACAAATGAGAAAAAACATAAGAAAAAAATACAAACGTAACGATTAAATATCATTTTGTTGTTGTGTGTGCCTTTTTTATTATTGTTTTTTTGTTATACTCTGGCAGCCAGTGTGGCATTAATAAAAAGAAGAAAATAAAAAAGAATTAGTTAACATTAATTCATTCTTTAAATTGAAGACCGAGCTGCTATGTTAGGAAGTGTCGGTTAACACACTTCTGGTTCACCTTTATTCCTTCCTACTAAAACCTTCGAAAGGACTATTATTCAAATTATCCCGCAATATATTATTATCATCTTCTTGTCTTGAATGTTTTCGTTGTTTTTATCAATGTTGTTAATGTGCTACATAGTATTTTTTTAAATTGATGAAGAAAATAATTCTCTTAATTTAACGTTGATAAATTTCGATTTAAAAATAATAATTTATTTATTTTAGTAAAATATAAAGTCATCTTACGTTGCACAAAGTACGACATCGACAGAAGTTAGTATTTGGTAATGAGATTTTTTTCTCAAACACGAAAAATAAAATCATCATAGGAATTTTGACAGCATTACGGAAATGAAAATCGAGAAAAATCGTTCCTACAAGACACTACTAAAAAATAATTAGATATAAACATATAATTCATAAATTTAGTTGCTGTTGTTTTCATTTTTTTTTATCTAGTTTTCATCAAAGTCTATGTAACATTTTCTTTTCGTCATAAAATAAAAGATTTAACAATTTTTTTTTTTATTCAAAATATTACGAATTATAAATATGAGTAATACCATCATTCTCATTGGTCTATTTTCAACAAACAAAAGCAAACTAGGTCAATGTGAAGTCGTTCGTTAAGGAACAAATACTAGAAAAAGAACTTGATCTGATATATTTTTGAAAATTAATATAAGTTAGAAATTTTAGATTAAATCTTTCAGTATTTATACAAACGTCATCCTACCATCTAATACATCTGACGAACTTTCTTTCAATTCAACAAATTCCTCAATAACATTTTGTGGTGGAATAAAAGCTAACGCTGCTAAATTTTTCATTGCACGACGGCTAATATCATTTTCAAGAAATTCTTTTTTCAAATGTAATTCCTGTAAGAAAAGATTAAAATGTTAAACATACCACGAGAAAAAAATCCATGTAAATTATGATGATCAAAATAAACTTACACAAATTTTTCTCCATATAAATTGTTTAAAATGGAAGAAGCAACCAAATATATCACACTGAGGAAATATAACACTAAATGCATTTTCAGCCGCTTTTTCAAAATCTATTGTTACATATTTTAGTTTATGTTCAACGTGCTGTTTAACAATTGTAAATAATTCTTCATATGTTTCTTGAAATTTATTTGGTAAAAGTGAATAAACTAAAGGCAACTTTTCCCACGTATTGAACCATGAATAGAATACATCTGATCAAATAATTTTGGCGATACCTAAGATAAAAAACTAAGTATTTGAAAATTTTGATTATATTTTGAAGACTTACAGCAAATGTACCATCACACTGCCAGCTCTCACATCCATTGAAAAAATCTAATTGTTCTTTACTGGCAAATATTAATAATCGACGATTATGATCATTATTATCATATAGTACAAATTTTTGATTTGTAACAATATTTTGAAAGTTTAGTGGAATAGAAATATCGGCAAATGTTTTAGGCTCTGCTGGAATATCTTCATCTTGTCGAACACGTTCAATTCTATGTTGTAATGCTGTGCATTGTGGAATAGTAATAGCCGTATCTGAGGATAATTTGAGCCGCGCTTCGTATGTGATTAATCTTCGCGGATCATGACATTGTTCTACTTTATTCTTAATTTCATAATTAAATAAAACCTTCTCGATTTCATTTTTAACATAATTCCATCATGATGTGCACGACCTTTGCAATTGCTTTTTACACAACGCCATACTAATCTATCTCGTCGATAACGATAACCATCGAGAAGAAGTTGATCATTTCCTTTAATAGACTTTATCAGAGACATGTTTTTACTTTAAAAATTGTCAGAATAATTTGTATGTACCCTTATCTTGTGTTTATATTTATATTTGGTCTACTTCGTCTTATTTCATCTCGCCTATCTATAAATTATACTTATTTATTTAATAATAATTAATCCTATTATCTTAGTATCCTTTTTTTACCCATACTAATTGATCCAATAATACAAAACAGAACATCTGTTATTCATGATGATTAGTTTGATATATTTGGTCATATAGAAATAAAACAGAGAAAAAATCATTTTGCGCGTAACTGTCGGCGCGCAAATGTCGTACCACGGGTGTGGGTGAGTATGAACGTGCATGGGGAGAGGAAGGAGTGCGGGTGTGGGTAGGGGACTGGATGGACTATGGGCGTAAAAGTCCTGCGGGAGCAAATTCTTCCCGTATTTTTCTGTCGCTTTTCCGCTGGAATCGGGGACGGGGATTCCCGTTGAGATTTCTGGACGGGAACAAAGGAACCGAAAATCTCGTGGAGATATCGGGAACGGGAAGGATAAAAAAATATCCATTCCTGGGACTCCGCTTGTCTTATTTCTATATGCGCTAAGGTGTGTTCGTGTAACAAACTTTTATTTTCAATAACTATTTTCGTATATAATAAACAAAAAAAAATGCAAATATCTGTCAACAAAATTATGAAGATTCATTCGTTTTTCACTAGATCTTACATTATGACAGCGATCAACTTCTTTATAATCATCATCGAAAGGACAATTATCAAGATTATCTTGCGAAACATTAAAATCATCTTCGTCTTTTGAAATTTATGCTTTTCCCATTGGTGTCATCAAAATGCAACTATTTATTCTTTTTAATTACTCAGTTGATGATGGAAATAATTATCTTGAGGTTGATAAATTTCAATTTCTAAATAATAACTGATTTATGTTACTCCTATACAAGCGTGCATAACGACTTCTCGTTGTATATCTATTGTTCGAAAAAGAATGTTTTTAAAATATTAATTGCCAAAATACACGGTACTCTTGGAGGTAATACAGACAGCATAGAGTTAACCATTTATTATTGTTTTAATATAGAGAAACATTCAGATTTTTTCCCACGTATATCTGATCTTCAACGTATCTTGTGAATTCAGTCTTTCTTGCTTTTATCATCGTGCAACTTATGTAATGGTATTAGTACACATCCGCACCCACTGAATATGAATCAAAACAATGCAGATTGCTAATATCGACAGTCGATAAATTCAATTTCGATGCACCTTACTATAACCTACGTCACATTCTGAAAAACGCAATGCTGTGAGAAGCTAACATCAGAGAACGATAGTGTTTTCAAATGTAAAAAAATGAATTTCCACTAGGGATTCTGAACGCCTTACGGGAACGGAAGCAAATATTTTTATTATGGGAACGGAAACGGAAATGGGAACTCAAAACCGTTGTTCTCGCAGGGCTCTTATGGGTGTGGATGTGGTTGTGGCTGGATTGAGGTGTGCATGCCGGTGTCGATGCTGGTGTTGGTTATCGAAAGAGCAAAAGACACAGCTACATCCACCTATACTCACAACTGCCACCCGAATCGCGCACCCACACCCTATCCTAGAAACATCTACATCCAGTATTCGACCTTACAGCAAGGAAGCTGAAGAAATTAAGAAAGCAGAAGTCTTTATTTGGGATGAAGCAGCAATGGCTCCATCATATGCTCTAAAGGTAGTTGATATCTTAATAAGAGATATAGTGAACATTAATGTGCCATTTGGAGGAAAAATTATGGTACTCGGTGGTGATTTTCGTCAAGTCCTACCAGTTATTCGATTCGCAAATAGATCGGAATTGATTGCAGCAAGTCTCAAAGCTCTTCTCTCTGGTCTGATTTTAAGATCATGCATCTTAACCAGAACATGAGAACTGGATCAGGTGAAGAAGAATTCTCAAAGTGGTTAATTAAACTTGGCAATGGTGAATTACCATCAAATGAATATGCTGAAATCGAATTGCCAAGCTCTTGCATGCTTGATGGTAATTTGGTCGACGAGATATTTGGCCAGCACATTTCCATCAATCACATTCCAACTCTATGCCACAGAACAATACTCTGTCCCAAAAATGAGCATTCTCTCCTGGTGAATGAAGAAGTTCTTCAACATCTACCTGGTAAAGAAATAATATACACAAGTGTGGATGACGTAGAACATGAAGATGGTGATGACGTGACCAACTATCCCACGGAAGTTTTGAATAGCCTCACACCATCCGGAATGCTCCCTCATAAACTTAGATTAAAGATTGGTGCAATTGTAATGCTTCTTCGCAACCTCGATGTAAAGCAAGGTTTATGCAATGGAATTCGACTCATCGTACGACGGTTACAAAATCATACGATTGAATGTGAAGTCGCAACGGGATCTAATAAGGGAAGCAGAGTTATAATACCTAGAATTACAATGACACCATCTGATATATTTTTGCCGTTTAAATTACGCAAACATCAGTTCCCTATTCGACTTTCATTTGCGATGACAATCAACAAATCATAAGGACAAACATTTGAACGATTAGCACTAATTCTACCACAACCAGTATTCAGCCATGGGCAACTATACGTTGGTTTTTCCAGAGTTCGCTCCCTAACATCTATCACGATACAACTCATCAAAGACAAGAACAGTGAAAAAAATAGAACTAGAAACTTTGTTTTCAAAGAAGTTTTGTAAATTAGTTGTTTTAAACTGGAATGAAAATTAAATAAATAAGCTGTTTTTATAGAACAGAAATAAAGATTTGGATTGTATCCCTGACAACCCCTTATCCTCATGAAAAAATGTCTTTCATTGATAAAAAAGACCGTACGGTATGCACGGGTTCTCGCTAGTCCATTGATATTTGAGGAGGTCTTTTCCCCTTATTGTAAGGGTGCCCCGCAATACTAGGTCTTAAGTACCGAAGATAGCATTTACATTATGCCCGTTACCCTGTTTCCCGGGAACGGTAACGGTAACTTCCCACCCCTACCCAAGGATACCCCTATAATATGGAACTTGAGGACCCAAGGGTACCCGCATAGTATAGAACTTGGTGACCCAAGGGTACCCCCATTGTATAGGACTTAATGACCTTAGGGTACCCCCATAGTATAGGACTTGAGGACCCAAGGGTACTCCCTTATAATAGGCCCATCCCCCCCGTTCCCCGGGAACTGGTAACTCCCCGTTACCCGGGAACGGTAACAGTAACTTCCCACCCCTACACCTGAAAAATACTTGTATTATTTGATGAACGATGAGCGTGCAAGGGGGAAACAGCTGACTCCAGTCCGTTGGAGTCAAGTGGAGTCACGGAGTCACGGAGTCCGCTGTTTCTCCCTTTTAATTAGGTGATTACTCACCTAATTATCACTAATTAAGGTGAGTACTCACCTAATTATTACTAATTAAGGTGAGTACTCACCTAATTAGTGGCAGTTATATGACTATGCAACTTAATTAGTGACAATTAGGTGAGTAATCAACTTAATTAGTGACAATTAGGTGAGCACTCAACTTATGATACATGGAGAAGGAAATATGCCATATTCTATTTTGGAGGACTCCATGACTCCATAAGTATTTGGAGTCAAGTGGAGTCAAGCGGAGTCAAGTGGAGTCAAGTGGAGTCATGGAGTCAGATGTTTCCCCCTTGTGAGCGTGTATATAGTGAGTGATACCCAGTAGTGTTTTTTCCGAACACTTCTTCTAGAAAAGTAACAATGTCAGTTGAAAGAACTAAAAAATTTGTATGTTGATTATAAATAATTTGGATAAGACTTTTATTCATATTTGTTTTTGAGGCAAAGTCAACGTCAAAAGAAATGAATTTTTCCATTATTGAAGTTAGATTGGCACTACATTCAACACCTTTTACTCACTATTAGAATAGACTTAGAATATTCGAGTTTTAGATAAAAATAGATCTTTCAATAGATATAGGTCGATATTGTATCTTATGAGATTGATGACATGATCTTCAGTTATACTACACCCATGTTTTGCTCTATTTGCATAAGCCATTGTTAATAAGATATATGAAAAAAGTCACAAGTACACATTTCTATTAATAGTTGAAGTTACAAATTTACCGCATGAAAAAATAAAATGAAAGACCAATTAATTGATTTCATCATAAAAACAACAAGTGATCATACTTCACTTGATTCAATTAGTTAAAACAGGAAACATAATGAAAATATTCAAGGTGTCAATGAGGTGATTCAGTACCGTATATTTCTATTAATTAATTTTCACTTGGAATATTTTTTTTAATGTTTGATAGAAAAAATTCATACATTTTATTCATTGTTTTGTACACTTGTCAAAAGTTCTAAGTTGCATGAACTCTGGAAAAACTTGAAAATATTGAATTTTTAGATAAGAAGTTTATTAATCCAAGTCATGTTTTTTTTTCTGTTAAATTTTTCATCAGAAAAAGAAAAAGAGAAATATTCAATCCTTATATTGTTTAGAAACAAAAGTTATCGACGATTTGTATTGATCGCTGTCTGTTCTACAGTTCGGGTAATATTAGCAATTCCAATAATATTCCGACCACGTATTCCAATAGTATTTAATATTTTCTGAATTAAATCGGGAAGTGTACTAAGACATATAAGTGGTAAAAAAAGTGGAATCAAATAGATAGCAAACGAAATAATATCCATTTGATCAGCCATAAATGAAGGTATCACAGTTATTTGTATGAGTGATACTATCGTTACAGGTAGCCAACATGCCATATAAAGTGATGAAATAATCCATAACTGAATTACCATTTTGCGATGATTTCGCCATCGTATTATTTGATTGTGAGACATTTTTTGATAGATCACTCGACTTAACAATAATAGATTTGCAAGCGCAATGACGAATACAGGAAGAGCAACGTTGAAAATAAAATCGAACTGACCAAGAAAGTTTGTCGTAAAATAACAGGGAGGACCACAACTAATATAATTAAAATCCCATAGAGTGTTACACTATGGACTAATGACAATTAAGACAAAATAAAGTGTTGGTGTGTAAATCAAACAAAGAATAAGTGGTATAAAATGAAACATCCATTTTTTCCATGGCTTTTGAAGTATGATGTTTGGATGAAAAATAATCACATGTCTTTCAATAGAAATCCATGTCATCAGAAACAATCCAATAGCATTTACAGAAAATTCACACCATGTCCACCATATACAATATTGATAGAATGTAGGCCAAACTATTTCCAGATAATAATAACTCATTGGCATTGGTAAATCAATTAGGAGCTGGAACAAATTGACGATGATTAAGATAAGCCATCCATGATTTTTAATTTTTAAACGATTTGTACGGTTCAGAGCAATATGAGTAAAGATCACAATCGCAACAGTAATAGCTGGAATTTCGAAAATAAGCATCAAAATAAATTTAATCCTGTTATTCATGATTCACATATAATATAGTGAATAATCAAATTTGTTATAAATATTGCTGAATTTCTAAAAAAAGTAACAGAAAGTAAGTCAGAGAAGATAAAATGATGTTAATGGCATTGAAATGTATGTTTTACATATTAGCCGGATCTTTTCAATGTAAGTGAATATAATCATTTATAACTACTTGTGAAACAATTGCTTCATCAAGTCTTGCTTTTCGAGGAATCTCAAATATTAATTTCTAGAACTTTTCTCTTGCTTTAGAAAATAATTTCTTTGATATTGAAGAAAGCTAATTTTCAAAGCTATACAATTTTTCTATAGAGAGGCTTAATGAAGACAACCAGTAGAGATCTCTATGAAAATTGTATAGCTATAGAGAATGTTACTATACGTCTTGAGATACGACAAGATTAGTCTGATATGCACACAGAAAATAATACCTAACCAAAATTCTTTTATATTTAACTTGAGTATAAGGTTAGCCTTTCAAATGGCATATTATTAAATCATATCTTGTCTTCTAGTAATAAAACTATATGCATAAATAGCATGAGTAAAAGTTCTACACTGTTGATCAATGTCGTTCTTTAAAAACTTTTCAAATATAATGTTGAAGTATGTTACATAAATAAAACAGGAATGTACAACAAAGTCATAATTATTCATTTATTTGAGTTGAATAACTCTCGACTGAATTCATATTCAACTAAAATTTGTATTCATTAATAGGACTCGAATAGATTACATAAAAAACAAAGTTAAACTTTAGGTAAAATTCGTTATAGATAGGAGTGAAAAGACGAATGTGTTATAATTAATTCTTTTCTCAAAAAACAGAATATAACTATTTGTTCAAATAAAATTTTAGAAAAAGGATCACATTCATTTTTACATATATAATTACATTATAAGAACATCAATAATTTCTTTTTCAATATCACAAGTTGAATCTCGATGACTGTTATTACACATTGGTTAGATGTGCCATAAGAAACATATTAAATGTGTTATCCATATATGTTCATTCTTTCTTTTGTTTCTTTCTGTACTTTCGTTCTTTTCTTTAATGAAATAAGTCTTGTTCGTTTTCTTTCGTGTCTTTGTTTATCCTTTTTTTTTCTCTTTCTTGTAAAAGTCAAGAAAACGTTGTTTTGACCTTGAGCTAAAAGTTATTGCGTAGTTAGTAATGCGTAACAACATTATATATATATATAGATATCATGTGGAGATAATTCGATGTGTGTAAGAAAGAGAGAGAATTAAAAAAGTGTTGTTATTGATTGAATAGAGATAACTGATAAAAACACTAAGTTAACATCTTATAAAAATCCATATACACGTCAACGTGAATTTGGGTTATAACAAACACATTTATACAAATAAGTGAACATGTCAAATCAATAAATGAAACAATTCAAGCAAAATCAGTAATTTCATATACCATAAATGAAGAGATTTTTCATCATATGATGAACAAATATTTACTACATTTTTATTCATATTTTACACGTTGGCATTGGACATATTTTATGATATAGCAAAAATACTACCTTGAAAATTTTATTTTGCGATACAGAAATAACAAAAGCAGAATTAGTATGTGACACGCTATGTACCTTTATACTTAGGGCATACCAAAAGTAGTGGTAGTGATACTTTAATTCCATCTAGAACGCTTAAAGAAACTCTTTTTTCTATATATTCTGATAGAGAAAAGAATGCCCTATTTTTTTATGCTATTTGATCATACTTCAATTAATATCAAAATAATAAATATTCGATAAGATCTGTTTCGTTTGCATGCGTGCTGATTGTATTAATACTACTTGTAAAAAATACGAGTATTTTTTTAATAACTTTTATTAGAAACAAGATAGCGACTTGCTGTTTCCACTACTGGAAAGAGCAGATGAAGATGTATCGAATAGTGTATGATAGGTTTTTATAATATGATTTCTTAAGTTTTTTTTATTCAATTTTCTAACTGTTGCCAAAGTAAGTTTTTTTATGAAAAAATGTAAAAGCAAAAAATAGTGATGATTATCATGGATTTCCCTAGAAAATCGTATTAGAGACTCAACTAGAACTGATATTATTCCTCATAGCTTTTTGCATTTTAAGATGTTCGATTAATGGTTTGAATTTATAGTTGATAATTCAAAATTCACAGTAAATAACTTACCAGATTTGCTTGTTGTTTAAAAAGTTAATGGAAAATCTTAGAAAAGACAGATGAGGAAAGCCTGGAATATACCATTCGATGCATCTTCATCTCCTCTTTCCAACGAAGAAAACCGCAATTCTCTATTTTGTTTATGACAAAAGTTATTCAAAAATATACTCACTCATATTTTTTACAATTAGTATTAATACAACCAGCACCTATGCAAACGAAACAGATCTTATCGAATATTTATTATTATTAGATTAGTTTAAGTATGATTAAATAGCATAGAAAAATAGAGTATTCTTTTCTCTATCAGACTATATAGAAACAATGTTTATTTAGACTTTCTATAAGGAATTAAAGTACCACTGCCACTACTTTTGGTTTGCCCTAACGGTAAGCAGTTTATTGACGAACTATAGTTAGTATAATCGATATAATTTAGAAATTATAATAAAATCTTGTTTTTCACATGAAAATTAATATTAGGAATATTTTTGTTTCTAAATATTTAAATATTTACTTTTTTAAATTAAAATTAAAAACATAAAAATAAATATCATCTTATATTTAAAGTATTTGAACATAAAAATGAAAGAGGATTGAAATAAATATAGTTTCTATTATTCACTTTCTTCATTTGTTGATTAGATAAGTGTTCTCTTTTTCATATTTTTATTTATTAGTTCATTAAACTTCAAAGATAGGAAAATGTTTTATTTGTTCTGAACCATATGCTTGGAGTATATGCAGATTTTGATTATGTCTCAATAAATTTTATTTTTATTTATAAGATAAACAAATATCAATGAACTTCTTCTTAGTTCTTATAAAATATTTTATCAAAGGCAAAAACCAAATTTTCCGAACACAATACAAATTAACGAAAAATTCCAAGCTGACATTGTAACGGAAAAAGAAACATTAAAAAGAAAAGCTCTTACGAAAAGAAGAGAACAGAAGATTTTGGGCTAATAGATTTATATTATTCATTTGAATTAAATGAGCATTGAATTTAAAAAAAAAAGAGCGTATTAATCTGTCATACAAAATTCATCGTTTGACATTTAACTCTGACACATTTTCAACATCTATTTGAATGATATCATTTAGCCTTTAATAAATCAATTAAAATGGTTTTTCTTTTCGTATCGTAAACATTAAATTCTTAATCGAAAAGAATTATTTTTATATAAATATAAAAGAAAAAGAAAAAAGAATTGTTCGGATTATTGAATCTTCTTTAAGACATTTATTTTAGTTTTAATTATTCATTCATTATTCAACTGACATTTCTTCTTCAAATAAAACTCAAAATGAAACAAAACCTGAGTAGTTCATTCGATTTATTATTTCGTTAATTTGAGATTCAGCCAGAAAAAAGAGATGATAATTATAATCATTAGCTACACAAATTGGTTCTCCTTGTTACTATCAATTAGCAAAAAAAAAATTCTTTAGACTGTTTAGTTTCTGTTTCGTTTTGTTCTATGAAAAGCTTTTCTCAAAAAAAAATGTCACGTAAATGGTAAATTAGCGACTTGTATCAATGATAAGTGAAATAGATAAATAAATTCTGAAAATTAATTTAAAATAGAGAATGATATATGCCGACAAAAATTAAACAAAAACTATATAGGCTCGATTTATAATCGAAGAACATTGTGAGAGATAAAGTATTTTAGTTGAACAAGGAAATAATCCAAAAAATATGCATAAATTTGTTAGAATGAATACTGACAGAGAATTATCTCAGAATAATTTCTCGAAAAATAATATTTATTTGAATATTTTCTCAAACAGTAAAAATTTTCGTCATGGTAAGGGTCTGAATATTGAGTTCGATTCTATCTATATCCACAATCTCGATACCAATCTAAGTGTTAGTCACGATTTTTCAATAATAAAAGCTATCGATTCTACATCTACATGAATATTTTTCATATCTAACATTAAACAATGAAAGAAGAAAAACCTTAGGAAGAGGAAAAACTCCTCAAAACACTCACAAACTGTTGACCCAAGATTGTTTATCTCTATTCGACTACATGCTATGTTATGATTGGCCAAAATCTTCTTTCTTTCGATTTCTATGAACATTTTATGTATTTAATGGTTGATTTTCTTTCAATATTTTGCTTATTTTTTTCTCTCTATTCTCTTCCTTACACGTGTTGCTATACAATGTTGTAGGTGTGGATGTGAGTTCACTGTTCAGTCGCATTCACACTCA